CTCTTTCCTCCCCAGAATGCCTGATCTTCAGCTATCACCTCCTTACCCCCAGGGGCCCATATCTGCCTCAAGTAGTCCTACCGACAGGCAGCAGGGGTCTTCCCTGTTCCGGGGTTGCTGCATTTCAAAGAGAGACATGAAGAGCAGGAAGGCCTGAACTGAAGCACGAATGGGATTCCAAGGGCAGTGATCCACTTCCGGCCCTACAAGCCAATGCCGGGACCACCTTGGCTCAAGCCTGGATCCCAGCAGGGGAGGCACGTTGGATCAGAGATGCAGCCTTCCACCCTTTGGGACCCAGCATAAGGCACATGTGGGTTCATGAAGAAGACCAAACCCTTTCTTTATTGAGGAGTCAAGTGAGCACCTTCAGGTGAAAAGGTAATTGCAGGCTGGGGTGGAGAAGAGTGTAAGGTCATGTGTGGAGAGCACCCAGAGATTTTTTTCCTAGTGGCAGGGCTGCACGACACACTGATGCATTCCAGTTAAAGACAGAAAGTGGGTGATGGTGTGCCTTGTGGAGACTATAGGATAATTGAGAGATAATTAAAAATATAATGACCCAAACTGGGGCAAAGAAAACCCATTGGAATTAACCTTCTTGCTCAGAAAGAAGGTGCCTTGAGAGTTTATGGTCAGGTTTACTACTTATTTAAATGACTCCACCTGCAACACGTGTCCCATGACCTACTGGGAAATCAGCTCCTTGTTGACTCAGAGGGATGAGCGCCAAGTCCTGATTCACCGTTGCTACTTCCTAACCACAGCCATGTTAGGAATACCCCAGTCAAGGCGCAATCCACTCAAACCCAGGGAATCCAGACACACGGGGAATCTGAACACATGGAAGACCATAGAATGAAATGACAAACGTGCAATGTGCACCTGATTATTGGGGTGGATTTAAAACCTTATAACATAAGGTTTACCTTTTTGGAATAGCTCTTATGATTTAAATTTCAGAGACCTGTTACAGAGAGGAGTAGAGAAATAAACACTTGTCTTTGCTCCTTCCCCACTAGCCTAGTTGGTCTGCCTCCCTTGCTATGTCCCTGAACTGTTTCCAGAGAGGATAGCAAAGGTACCAATAGGGCATTCTGGAGCTCTACAGCAAGCATGTCAAACTCAAAGGCTAACATGGGCCAAATAAACAAGGTTTAAGTTTATGTGGCCGCACAAAAACAAAAGCTTCAATTTTCATAGATACATAGGTTTATTTCTATAGAGACATGCTGAATACAAAGGGCTGAAATAAATGAGTGTGTAAGGCGCATAAGGGAAATGAATGCATCACGATTATAGTAATCAGTCATTAGCGAACATTGTAGTTCACTATTAATAATTATTCATAACAGGATACTTCAAAAATTAAGTTACAAAATTTTTATTAAAATGTTTCATACGTACTATTATATTGACTGGGCCGCAAAAATACTCATTGTGGGCCTCAAGTTTGACATGCTTTCTCTACAGTCTCCACATAAATCCCATCACTGAAGGAGCCCATGGGGAACATGTTGCAGCCTCTGGAGTAGTGGGTGAGAACAGGGTTAGGGACTGTGTCCAGGCATCAGTCCCATTATTCATCTACGTCACACACCTCTCCTCTGACCCTACAGCAGCTCACATCTCTTCTCCTCCCACCCCACCCCTGCCTCCAATTCCATTTTATCCCCCTATATTTCTACCCATTCTGATCAATGGTGCAGCATGGTGGGAAAATACATGTAGAACAAAACATGCTTTCCCATATCCCCTAGACTTGAGTTTGAATGATCATCCTAACCACATACTAATTGTGTAACCTTAGACAAATTTTAACCTTTGAGTCCACACCTGTTAAAAGGTGACAATAATACTATGTGTTTCCTATGTTTATTATTAGGATTATGTCTATTAAGTCTTTATAGCTTGGTGCTGGTTGATGTTTATTAAATGTCTCCATTTTGCTCTCTTTCTCACTCTCTCTGCCTTTGTCTCCCCATTTCCTGATTTAAATAGGAACAGAGGAAAGGCAAACAAACAAGATGTGGAAGAAAGAATCACAGAATTTTAGACCTGGAAAGAAATGAAAAGGTCATTCAATCCAGTCTCCTCAGTTTATAGATGAGGGCATGGAGGCTCAGAGAAGTGAAGTAACTTTCCTGAGACCACACAGCAAGTATGTGGAGGATTCATGACCCAAGGAGCAAGTTGCAGCCTCTCATGACCTTTCCCAGGCTTCATGCGACCATATCACCCTGAGACAAACCGAAGAGATGGGGAGAGAGGAGGCATTTACCATGTCTACATTATGTCTGATCCATATTTCATTTAGAAAGTGTTTTTCCATAACTTTTTCTAAAAGCCTAAATTATTTTTATTGAAATTCTTCAAAACTTGGATCCCTAGTGGGTTTCTGCTTCTACTTGGTAGTAGGTTCAAATTTTTAAATTAGTTGACCAATTTTGCATCCCCACCCACCAAAATATCCAAAGTGTTGAATGAGCACATTTTCTGTTTGGAATCCACAAGAATCTGTCCACCTCTGGTTTCACCTGGCCCAGCTCCTGAACACTGAATCCAGCCTGAGGCAACCCATGCTGCCTGACAGGCTCCCAGCTCTTGGGTCTGACCCACCACATAAAACCTAGTTCATCAGGAATTTCTTTGTGAGATTCAATATATGATTTGATCAGCTAGTTCATGCTAGCATAGGACTGAAATGGAAGATACCAACTCAGCCCTCAAAACTCTGCTGTTTTTGAGTAGAATGGGTAATTTAGCAATGACTCTCTCGAGACCATGCCTCACCTCTGTTTCTCAGAGAGAGGCTTTCTCAATAGATGAGAAGTGTGTGTGTGGGGGGGGGAGGTGGTGATTTTCTTCTTTATTTTTAATATATTTTGATTGATTTCAGAGAGGAAGGAAAAGGGAGAGAGACAGAAACATCAATGATGATTGGCTGCCTCCTGTACGCCTCCCTACTGGGGATCAAGCAAGCAACTTGGGAATCAAACTATGACCTCCTGGTTCATAGGTTGATGCTCAACCACTGAGCCATGCCAGCTGGGCTGGAGTGCTCTTCTTGTTCCTGATGGCCCAGAAATGAGACTCCTCTGACAGCAGCGCCTGGGCCACTGTCTGTATCTTTTCCTCCTGAGTCAGGCCCTGTGGTCATGAAGTCTTTCTTCAAACACCATTTATAAAACACGCATGCATGACTAACTACGAAATAAAGACAGTGATGCAAGCTGATGTGACTTATCTCATCTACCAAGCGCGTCGGCTCAATGCTGAAGGGGGAGATTTTGTCACCAGTTCCCAGGCTGGGAAAGGACAAAGAATTTAGAGTGTGTATAAGTGGCTCGGTGAGGTCTCTGAAACCACCCCCTTCCACTCTGTATTGTCTCCTCAAGCCCTATTTGGTCAAATTCTCAATAAAAAGAAATTATAGTGCATTCTACCTGCCTTCAGAGAACCTGCAATACCAAAGTCCGACATTGTTTAAAGGGACCTCCCCATTGCTGATAAGCGCAGTTTTGAAAAGTATTTCCAAATGAATAGTGCAAAGGATAGAATAATTTATTGCTATAAATTATCAAACAATCCAGTCAAAATATGCATTCATTTATTCATTCTTTATTTAATCATTCAAAACACAGGTGTATAATGGATTGTCTATAAGTTTTGGAGTCAGAAGGACCACAGTCGAACCTTCGCTCCACCACTTCCCAGTTTAAATATTCTGGAAAAGCTATTTAATGATCTGAATATCAGTCTCGTGACTTGTAAAAATTAGGAAAATAATACCAATGCAATGAAGCAAGATAGTGCATGCGAAGTGCCCAGCACAAAACAGCCACTCAAGAGAAGTGAGCGCCTTCCCGCAGAATTCCCACGCAGCAGCAGCAGTCAGCAGTTCACATCAGATAAAGGTCCAGCCCGTATAACGTGAGTAATGTTGACATGTGACGTACAACATTCCTCTTGCACGCAGCTCCTCTTGCACACAGCTCTCCTTCTTATCTCTGCTTTGCCATGTCTGACTTCTTGGCAGTTTCCTGAGTCCCAGCCTCAGGGCTGTTTCTGGTTTCTCACCTCATCTCTGGCAGACAAACCCCTTCTGGCCAAACCACCTCATCCACTGCTCCTCAGCCCAAGCAAAGGCGCCCACGGGACTGGAACCACCTTCCATTCTAGCACAACGAGGCATGTGAGTCCAAGCTCCCAGGAAAGGAGTTGCTCTTGGCTGCAAAGGGCCTGTGGCAACGGCTGAACCAGGCAGCACGGTATCCCTGGGATAGAGGGGACTTTTCACTCTTTGGAACTTGAGAATGAATGCAAAAGATCATCTACTTCCAACTTTCTGGTCTTCAAGATGGAATGAGCCCCAGAAAAGTTAGGGTTACAGTTAGTTAAACGGCTAGATTTCCCTCCCCTCCCTTACTGAGATATAAATAGCTGTTTGATATACCCCCCAAACCACCCCCACACTTCAAAAGATTAAGTGCTTATGTAGACAAAATCACATATTCCACTACAGCAACTTAATGATTTCCTGATGATATACGATGGATAGGTCCCAGATTATCATTAAGCAGCATTTTACAGTTTGACAACTGACACTATTTTGGAGCCAGTTGCAACTTTAGGAACTGGAGTCCAGTGAGCACATGCCCGGCCAGAAGCCACCACACCATTACTCTTCCAGGGACTCCCGAAGTGTACCTGTGCCGGGCAGCCTCCATGACCACACGGCTCAAAGATGGAATGAAGAAGCATGCAAGAGTCTGAGTCACATTTATCTGCACCCTGAAATCCAACCTCTTCTTTTATGAAAGCAATACATGGGACATGGTTGAAAATAAATTCAAGCAAAACAAGAGTGTACTGTATTACTCAGAGTTCTCCAGAAAAGCAGAACCAATGGGATATATTGCTCTCTCTCGCTCTCTCTCTCTCTCTTTCTATATATATATAGAAATATATATATATATGTATATAGAAATAAATATATATATATAGAAATAAATATATATATATGGTCATGAGAGCTGGCAAGTCTACAATTTGCAAGGCATACCAGCAGGCTGGGAATCCAGGCAGGATTTCTGTGCTGCAGTCTTGAGGCGAAATTCCTTCTTCTCTGGGAAACCTCAATGTTGACTCTTGATCTGATTGGATGAGGCTCAGATTAAGGGGATAACCTGCTTTATTTAAAGTCAACTGATTGTAAATGTTAATCACATCTGAAAAAATAGCTTCACAGCAATATCTAGACTAGTGTTTGAGCAAACAGTCACCACAGCCTAGCCAAGGAGGCACATCAAATTAACCACCACAGGGAGACAATGCAAGGGCACCCGTCCCACCCCAGTTCACTTCTGCCTTCCCAAGAGCTCAGCCCTTTAAATATCCAAACTCATCCTTTCAGGAAAGGGCATGGGCTCTACTTGTTTCAAAAGCTCTAAGTTTGTAAGAAAGCACTAGACTTTCTTTATACTTGACATTTATTTAGTCTTGCCTCTGTGCCAGGCCCATGGTAAGCATTGCATGCAGATGTTCTTCTGTAAGCACTTTCAGTATTCCTGTGATGCTGGAACTATTATTAGCACCCACTTTACAGATAAGACAATGGAGGTACTGAGATATTAAGATCCTCTCTGTTGAATAAATTTGATGACAAGAAATTTTCAATCTACTTACAGGAAGACAGAACCATTTGATTCGTTTTCATTGAGAAATTAGAGGCAGGAACAACTTCAGAAAAGTTTCAAAGGCGTCCTCAGCACCAGGTAGTATTTCAAGCGTGAGTGCTCCAGAACCCTTGAGTGACACCAGAGAGGCCTTAATCTGGGCCGTGTTTTTTTCACCTCTATGTATAGATGGAATATTCCTATTTAAATTATTTATTGTTTTGGGTTCCCAATTAAGCTATAATGTGACAAGCAAGCTATTTTACAAGGCAATAAAAAAAATAATCATGCTCCCAGTGAGGAAACTATAAGGCCAAAAGGTGGGTTGTTTATATCAGGAAGAAAACCCTATTACTGCATTGGAAAACAGTTGGCACGTCCTGTGATTGCTGCTACAAGTAAAAACAGCCATAGAAAAGAACGAGATAAACTGGTTACCAGCCTCCTTGAAAGCACCTATATTTAGAATAATGACAAAACTGTCTGTGTTTGCACAAGGAGCAAAAATGATTGATGGAAGGGGTGAAGGGAACCAAGTCCTACCCCCAAATTACGGCCTCAGGGATGTAGGGAGGTGTTGAAAGGTTTAGGAGCAGAAAAGACTCTCCCTGGGTGTATGAATGGCAGAAAAATGTAATAGTAAATTAACTGACTTGAGGGTCCCATCTTCTTAACATGATGAATAAAACATAGATCAAATTCAAATGAACCCGTCTATGGAAAACTAAAATGATATTATGAGCCCTGCCTTGTCATTACGGTGGTTCATGGGAAGCCACGGCGGCTACA